GAACAGCTCAACTTTTACTAGTCTGATGGCCTCACCAAGTTTGACCCTTCAGACCTAAATACTTCTCTTCCAAGTTGTGCGTGTCGTTGTCTTTTTTTTTTATCTTGGAGTATGCTTTTTTCCTTATCTGCAATTATTGCCCCTTGATGCTTAAGAGCTTATTTTTGTTCATATGCTTTACACTTTGCAGATGTGCCTGAAGGTTCATTTATTGTTAGGGCCCATACACCGATGTCAAATTTATTTTCATGCCTTTGTTTTAATGAAGTTAACTATTTTACATCATGTGATCAATTGAGTTTTGCTTATACCTTGAAGTTGAAGAGATTGAATCTAGATAGGCCATTCTTTCTAAATATGTTCAAGGTGGGTAATTACTAAAATAAGACTATTCTTTCCATTACATTGTGCTTCAGGGACTATAATTTACCTATACTAGGAGAGTAATGTGGGAGGCTGATAAACTAGTTGGAATTTCTAAATAAAGAAATAGTGCCCTTACTATTAATTTGTTCCTTCAATCTGCTCATAATTATTGACCTTAAAAACCATACATTTTAGGTGTTAGCCTCCAAGTGTTCTGCACTTGGTTGGTCAGTTAAACAAATTTTCATAATATCACTCTTTGATCAGAATTTCATAATGCTTTTCTGGGTCATTTGTTTGTTTATTTTTTTATTTTTATTGCATTGACAATTCAAATTAATGTGGCTAGAACAAATGTGTACTAAAATAAGGCATTTTGATTCCATCAAACCCAGAGTTTTAAAAGACTTTCCTAAGGCTCGCCTCGATGCTCGCCTCACCTCAAGGCTAAGGTAAAACGCATCAGCTTTGATTTTTAGGCATTACTCCCCAAAGGTTTGCGCATCATGGTTTGAGACATGCGCCTTAGGCGCGTTTTGTACGCTTTTTGCACATAAGCATGTAAGGAGTACGCACATGTAGAGGTTGCCTTGGGCTTTTGTTAAACTTAGTCTATTGGATTGTTTAAACATAAAAAAACAAAAAGAATCCCTTTTTGCAACTATATTCTACAGGAAAAATTAAGTAAATGATCAATTAAGAAAAAAACACAATTAATGGTCAAGTGAGAAAACTCAATCACTAAAGTTAAGACTATTAATTTCACTTTCGTGAAGGAAAACTTTTTTCTATGTAGTAAAATATTCAACGCATTAAAGCGAAAAGTATTTACACCTTTATATTTAATTTTGTTTTTATTTTTTTACTATTTTAAAATATTTAATTTATTCTCTAAATATTAAAATTTGAAATTTGAAATGCTTACGCCTCAACGCCTTGAGGCTTACGCCTCGCCTCTTGAAGGGTAAAATGCCTCGAGGTACGCATTCACCTTTAAAAACTTTGATCAAACCTTAGAGGTGGTGCATTTAATGGACGCATGCTAGGTTTATTTCATGTTGTGGCCACAATTGCCTTACGTGTTCTGTTTGTTATGATAAAGGATATGGACATATGACCCATCAACTCCAGCATCAAGAAATGCGACCATCTACTGTGGAGCAGAGATCATGTCACTTGAGTGGGATTGTAAATCAAACCGTTTGTTATTTAATTCAACATCATATGAACATGTTTATTCATTTTCATGTTGGAGGATGATGTTTGATTGTCTAAAACCATAAATTCATGTTTGTAGCTCTTGTTTGTAGCTGCCTTCTTCCTTGAGCCATTACTACTTAAAGCTTATGTCCCTTGGAACCTGAGGAAGTTTATTTAGCTTTCTTTGATTGCTTGAACTGAAATATTAATCAAGTTTTATCTAGGGATTTATGTTTGAGGTCATTTCAAGGCTTGAGTAGGAGAATGTATCTCTTTGCTAAGTTGAGTGCTTATACGGGACATTATATATATTGACTGATCATAATTGTTGCCTTATGTCGTTCTGATATACCTACTTACTGATTGATTTTGCATGATTAAAAAGTTCAATGCACATGTTTGCTACTATTTATTTGAATTAATGCAGGAGATTCTTTGACTGACACTGTATGGTATGTATCTTTCTTGTAACTAAATTTATTTCTCCATTGTACTGTATATTTTTGTCCTTTAAGTACTATTGTAGTTGGTTAAATTCTGTCTATTGAGTTGCAGCGTTTATGTAACTTACTAATTGACTACTTGTGATAAAAAATAAAAAATAAATAAAAAATAATTCACACCAATCCCCATCTTTAATCAATGTTTTTAGATGTTATCATCATACTTGTTTATTATTTATGTTTTTGGAATATGAATCATTCTTAGGACCTAGTGTTTTTATAGGCATGCCACGAGTTATATGGATAAGTTGGGATTGCATGAGTTATATGGATAAGTTGGGATTTGTAAGCTTAACTGTCTGGAGCATGAAAACATGGAAGGCTATGGTATGCCCTTGTGTGTCCCACAAATTGTACATTAATGTAGAAAGTCAATTTGTCTTTGACAGACAGCTATTATGTCTTAATATTTCTCAACTTTATTGAAGACAGTCCTTCCCCTTGGTGAAGATCCTCCAGCAATTACTTCCTTATGCTTCAACCATAACGGGAAGATTTTAGCAGCTGTTGCAACTGATGGAATGATTCACATGTTCAGTATCCTTATAGCATTTGATGTTTATGTATGAATGGTTATTATATTTCTTAAATTAAGTGTTACACATTTTGCTTTTGAGGCTCAAATGCGTTGCTGTTACTATTCTTTGGTACACCAAGTAAAAATACATGAAAAAGGAATCATTTTCTTTCTTTTGGCGCTTCAGAGTTGGAGGGAGGAAGGGAGGATTAAACATTTCTACTTTGAAAGAAAACTTGTCCCCAATCTCATGCTGCACGCAAGACATGAGCAACAAATGTATACATCTTAATTTGGCAAAGATATGTCTGCCGGACTACAAATTACTGGGTGGCCAGCTCATGATTCTGCTATTAGCTCTGTTCTTTTTGGGCCTGATGAGACAAGTATTTTAAGCTTGGGGATAGATGGAAAGGCAAGTGCCTCTGTTTCCTCTGATTTTAACTCGGGAAATTATAATATTTTGTTACTATGAATTGCTTTATATAATTTTTCTTTGCCTAAAAGTTTTTTCTGTGATATGTACATGTTGTCAGGCTTCTTATATTTGTGACTTGTTCAATTGTAGGTACCATTGGATATTGTTAATTATTGATCTAACATTGATGATTGTATACTTGCTTGATCTGATTAATTCTAAAATAAACACAAGCCTTGTAGTTGTAATAAACACGTAAGTTTGGCTGGTTAGTACATTTTTAAGCAATTTGAGTTACCTTAAAAATATTTTGACTTCTGGAATTTCTTTTATAAAGTGCTTTGAAAATTTATGAAACTACTCAAAGGAAGAGGATGACCAATCCAGTGTGAAAAGTAGTTCAGGTAATTAATATAATTTTCTCTAATTTTATCACACTTGTATTTGTGCTAATGGCTGTTCAGCTTGATTATAACACTTTATATGTAGTTTCTAATAATAATGAAAATGCTTTCATGTAGTCCCTGCAACAAATAGTTAGTTTATTCATATGCTTCTAGTGGTTTCTGAATTAATTTGTGCTTTTATTTTTCAGGTCAGAAATTTCTTGGAGAGATGCAAAATATGGTCAAAGAATTCAAGAACTTAGTTTTTTAAGTTTTTTCATTTTTTAATATATGTAAGCACAGTTTAAAACTTTTTATTTAATTCCTTTGTATATATTTTTGAACATTTAATTTTTATTTATAAAATATATGACGTTATTCCATTCAATATGTGGTTGTGATTCAAATTATAGTGTATAGTGTGTATTACATTCTTCAAATGTGCGTACAAAAATAAATCTGTGATCTAAATGTTCATCATCACAGGTTTTATTAGTTATTGATCACACTTTAAAAGATGTGATATATATTATTAATCACACTTAAAAAATTTGATTTAAATATTATTAATCACACTTAAAAGATGTGATCTAAGTGTTGATTATCACAGGTTTTATTAATTATTAATCACACTTAAAAGATGTGATTTAAATGTTATTAATCACACTTAAAAGATGTGATCTAAATATTTATTATCACACTTAAAAGGTGTGATCTAAATATTATTAATCACACTTAAAATGTGTGATCTAAATATTTTTAATCACACTCCCAAATATTACACTTTAATAAAACTTAAAAGGTCTGATTAAATAACATACATCACACAAAAAAAGTGCAATCTTTATCTGTTTTTATAATAGTGAATATTATACCAATAAATTGGTTATGGTTCTTCCTATAGAAGCACAATATAGCCTCCGTTTGGGAAGTGGGTTGACTTTTTGGCTTTTTGGCTTTTTTGGCTATTTTAGCCTGGGCTTAAAAACTTGGTTTGGGAAGGGCTTTTTGGCTTTTTGGCTTTTTTGAATTTTTTTTGTGAGAGAAGAATGTAATGATTATGGGTTGGATGTGATGTTTTGTTTGTTATGGCTAAAATAACTTATTTTGTCTTTTGTGACTAAAATAGCCAAAAAAGCCCAAGAATCAACTTGCCAAACAGAGGCATAATAGATTACATTCTTCCACTAATGTAAACAATTAAGGATGTATAATTCTCTTTGTTTTAAGAACATGTTAAAAATTACAAAAGCGATGTAGCTCCTTGAAAGCTTTCCAATATAATATCTTATACCCATAACAAAAAGCAGACAAGTGAGCACATGTAATATTGTCAAATTTGCAGGTCAATAGTTCTCTTATTTCCATGCAACAAAATTTCTCAGTGCTCTGAAAAAAAAAAATGAAAAAGAAAAAAAGAAGCAAACTTTAAAGCACGCACCTCCAAGTACAGTAAATAACTAAGATTGTAGATTCTAATGACAGACAAATATCTAACAATGTTGGTGAATAATCTTAAACAGAAATTGCTCTAAGAAGCAAATAATTGCCTTATAAGAACCAAATGGTGGCACAAAAAGCATATTCTAATCAATTTCATCAACATATTTCTTCAGTCAATCGAACGAAATTAACCTAATCCAATGTAAATCAAATACAGATTCAGATTGCTACTATCTCGTGTGAACTCATCTGGTCCAGATTGAAAACCCCTTCTACCTCTGAACTTACCTCTTCCTCTTCTTCTTCTTCCACCACTGTGATGTTGTCACTACTTCCATTGTTGTTTTCTGTCAAAGAAGTGACTATGATATCGATATGTTCCGATTCTTTGGAGCTCTTTGATGGCATCAGTTGTGTAATTCTCTTCAACTCTTTACTTTTTCCCTTCAAGACTATGTATAATCCACACACTATTACCCCAGCTCCTAACACACTATTATTATATACAAATAAAAAAAATTAAGTCAAATGATGCAATGTATGTCCATATATATCAAGCAAAAAATTATTTATGTGACAAAGCAGATAACACCCACCATAATTATTCATTTGATTTTAATAGTATTGGCTAGTTAATGTTGTTAATAATATCATATCATGTGTACATATATACCTTCCCAAGTGTAGCTTCTCGTCCAATAGCAATAAGCCAGCTATTGCCACAAGAACAAGCATCACGGGGCTAAAAATTGATACAAACAGTGGACCCCTTATTTGTACACACCAAGCCATGACGGTAAACGTTACTCCACTAGCCACAATCCCCTACAATGCAAGCAAGTCAAACACATTTTACAACTGCTCCATAATTGAATTAAAATTCATAATTTAGATTTACACCCACACCTAAACTTAATCCAGACATTTCGTACAATTTTTCGGAGTACATGTGTTCAATTGTTTACTACCGGCACATTTCACAATTTAAATTAAAATTTGTCATTAATAATTTAACATATTATTAAAAAGGAAAATGAATTGTGGCCCTAAAAACAGTGGCCCTAATGGCCCTAATTTCCTTTTCTGGATAAGTTTGTTTTTTTTTTCTTTTTTTTTTTTGCCTTGTTTTTTTTTTGTTGCCTTATATGGAAATTTAGGGGCATTAGGCCCCTAAATTTTGAGCTACCAACCAAAACCCATCAGCAATAGATCTTGTATCTAAAACTTTTAGACCATTTAAAAAAAAAAAATGACCAAACAAGTGGTAACTTGTCGAAATATATGAATAATCATTATATTAACACAGAAATCGATTACATAATTGAACACATAACATGCATCAAAATTTTACAAGATTTTTTCGTGGCATCAACTTTTTTTAAAAAACTTTTGTACACATACATTCACGATTCTATGACGATTTCCTATGTTTGTAGACTTATCTTATATATTATAAAAATATAGTGTGAAACATGAGAGATTTTCCGTCTCTTAATACTAAACTCTCATGTACTCCCTTTTCTACATGGCATTTTTTTTAAAATAAACATAATAAAAAAAATTTTAAAATCAAATATACAAACAGATAAAATTAACAAATTTGATCTTTATCATTTCACTTAAAATCTTTATTTTGCCTCTCAATATCCAATTTTAAATTTTAAAAATCTTTAAAGTCTATCTAAATAAATCTATTTTGAAAATATCTCCCACCATTAGAATTTAAATCAATAAAACTAACATGTCTATCATGTCTCTATCTCACATCATAACTTAAATAAATTTTAACAAGTAAATAAAAAGCCACAACTCCATAACTTAAATAAATTAAAAAAAAAACAAATATAAACCACTCATAAATAAAGAAGATAAGAATTAAGATATGAATCTCAAAAAAAATATGACAACGTCTAAATTTGAATTATGATTTATTAATATAACTATGTTTTTTTGTTTTTTTATGTATATCTATCTAAATCTTAAATCACTTAATGGGAAAAATTAATATATTTTGAAGTCTTATTTAAATAATAAGTTGATTAGTCATCCCAACTCGAGCTACACATTTCTTTTTTCCTTTTCCTTTTTTTTCTTCAATATGTAGGATATTTACGAAACCAAACCAAACCAAACCTTAAGTCCCATCAAATGGGGTTGGCTACATGAATCCTTCTTCTCCCATCAATTTGTAGGATATTTACAAATGAAAAATGTTGAAGCTTCAAAAAAGATCTTAGAATCTGACCCATGATGATATGGTCATAAGTGTCAATTTTTAATTCGTTACACACCTAATGATATAAGGCACCAACTCTCTTGCCACATCATGGATGAAGTTGTGATTTTAAGTATGGGCCTCTACCATTTCTCTTTACAAATATGAGAAGAAATTAATCAAATTATATATTTCGACCAACCACATATTCAAATTTTTGCTCTTTCAAGATAATTCTAACCAAGAGCATATCAAATCAAACCTTTTATTTATATTTAAAATCAAGTTAAATTAAAAAAATTAAAAGAAAATAATGAAAGGTTGAAGCTATTGTAAAGCTTTCTTATTCTTAAAGACTAAAAGGCTAGTACACATTCCGTGTGGGCATTATATTCCTATTATATTTTTAGTTATGAAATTAAAATCAAAAGAACTGTAACTTACATTATTGAATTAATAACAGAAACATGAGAAATTCTAACATATACACCCTTAAAAATGGTACCATATGCACCTTTAGTTATGTTATTTTCTTTAGTTATGATATTATTTTAAGAAAAATGTTTGGGATCCCCTTTGGGAATGACCCACACCCTTAAAGTAATTTTGGCTCTCCATGTATGTGTGGGATCCACTAATGTATGTGTGGGATCCACATCATGAGTGATTCAGAGTTGTGAGGGTCTTGTAGAGGTGGGGGTCTCAATCATTACTCTTATTTTAATAATGACTCATGAGTTCTTTAATTATGCCTCATATTGTGCTTAGTTATGACTCAAAAAATATGAAGTTATGTTATTTTTTTTTAATTATAAGGTGCATATGGTACACACTTTTTGAGGGGGTATGTACCATATTGTTTCCCTAGAAACACAGCGTTAAATATCAATTTACTTCACATTTACTAATAAAATTGTATGTTTTTCCTAATTATGAAATTGTATATTTATCTTAATTATAACTTTTAAATTTAACTCAAGGAGTTGTGGCATTTTGGTAAGGCTTTGGGGCATAAGTCCTAAAGTTCCAGGTTCCACACTCCCTATGGCCAACTCCCAAGGGTTTGGTGTAGTGGTCCTAGGAGGGCCTTCTAAGTGTTGGACGACCCATATCGAGGACTTAGGTGTGGAGTCAAATCCTAGTAGCTACACTCTTTGACTGAAATGGTGCGTGCATTGTGGAGTCGGTGCACACACCCGAGGTTTGCCTATCGTTCTACTCCAGTTAACCGACATTAGGTAGTTGATTCCAAAATCGGCGGAGGACAAGCTTAGGGAGTTTACTCGTTAATTAAAAAAAAACTTTTAAATTTATATATTTTCATAACAAAAAGAGGTATGTCTTAGCTCATTTAACCATGTTTAACTCTTTTTTTTTATTATTATAGAAATTATCAAAATTTCACTAGTAGATTTATAATTTTTTAAAAAAATTTGAAACTAATAATTAAAAATGTTATAAACATAAAGATTAACTTATGAATTTCATGCATAGTACATGATAAAACATTATGTTACTGCAAGATAATAATAATGATTTATTTTAATTTATAAAGTCCCGCGCATAGCATGGGTTACTACTTAGTATGAGGATACATACCGAATAAGAGACGGTTAGTAGTCTTAGATTCCATCCTAGTTTCCACTTACTCCAATCTCTATCCATGCAGAGTGCAAATCCAATGGCTTGGATTGCTGCCATCGTCATCATCAAAGCAGTGCTGGAGTACACACAAGGATAGTCCTGTATCATCTTAGCCTGGCCCAACAAATATGACACATTCAGAATAAATGACACTAGTTAAGGACATTTGAATAAATTTAATTTTTTTAATCATTTATTTATTTTTATTTAGGGTTGGTTTGGCAAACTTTAAAAAATTCAAAAAGTTACTAAAAAAGTTAAAAAGTTATCACTATTTATCAAAAAAAATATTAAAAATTTAATTTTACAAAAAAAAAAGTACAACTCACATGTCGTGTGAGTTGTACTTTAGCTGTCCATCATTTGTACAAAGGGACCATGCAGAGAAGCAAACAAGACGGTGTTGTTCGGCCTGTGGAAGCCCATCACGAGTCCCGTTTTGATAATTTGAAACGTTAAATGTATAAAACTCATCGAGTAATATATGCCATAAAAAATCATGTTGATCGGATATCGCTAACTACATGATCAAATCAGTTTTGTACAAAAAATAGATGGTGTTATAGTTAACGGTTGACAAAAAAACTAATCTGATCAGATAGCTATCGATATTCAATTAACATGATTTTTTACAAGCATATAGTATTCAACGAGTTCTACACATTGAATGGTTCCGATTAGTAAAACGGGACTCGTGGTGGGCCTCCACGGGCCGAACAGCACCGTCCAATTCAATGCTCGAAAAGGAGGCAAGCTTCTCATATACACTACTCTGCCCACTGTACTGCCTACTCTGCCCAAGCTTCTCCTATACACTAATTTATACAATTTTTTAATACACATTTTTCGTAAAAAGTCAAAAAGTTATCCTAAACAACCATTTTTTTCCTCAACCTTATAGTCCAAAAAGTCAAAAAATATACTTATTTAAGACACCTCAACCAACCCCTTAATTTGTTGGTTATTGCTACAAGATTACCTGAACAATCAATCCTATTGCAACAGAGACACAACAGGACACAACCAATAAAGCTCCCACCACGTTATTACTATCATGTGGGTGTAGTGTTGCCACGTGTCCACCCTTGTAATGCAAAAGGTCAACATTGGTTGACGAGATGTTGAGCTCTACCCCTTTGTAGAAGATGAGTAGCATGGCCCCACCTATGCACATCAATGTCCCTGCCACCTTCATCTTGCCTATCGTTGTACCCAATCCCAGCCTCTCCATCCTGTACACATCATACCCACATCAGATGGCTATCATGCAATACTATTATCTAAAAAGAATATAATTAGAAACCAATAATTTTTTTAAAAAATAACTACAAATTTATAGAAAATTTTAAGATTTTATTATTAAATTTATAAAATTTATTACTGATTTGTAAATATTTTTTAAAAATATCATTGATTTATATTTTCCTATATATATATATATATATATTAATTTCCCACTAGATTTTGAAAAGCCCTATTCATATAGAAAATATCACAAGAATAATAATAGGATAATGTTAATTTTGTAATTAAAAGTAATTTTTGTGAATGTTTTATTTCAAAATAAAAAGTACACGCATTGAACTATATTATTACACATTCTATATGAATTTTTTTTTATTTCATATATCATTAATATAAGTTTTTTTTTTGTTTTTTTTTTAATTTTTATCATTATACACAATTTTGGACTGTAGTGGCTATTTCAGCCCCAAACTGTGTTGCCAAACGGAGGCTTAGTAAAATTTAGGAAATCTGTTTAGCTATATATTTTGCATATATATATATATATAGAGAGAGAGAGAGAGAGAGAGAGAGAGAGTACCGGAAAAAGACGGCCAAAATGAAGGTGCAGGCAGGGATGAGATTGTACAAAGCAGCAGCAAAGGTCGCTGACGTCAAAACGAAACCCTCGGCGTATAAATTTTGTGCCATTGATCCTCTACAATTAAAAATTGAACATTATTATTCAGGCTCAAAAAATTACACGTACTTTTTAAATTCAGTAATGTGTTATATTGATTCTGTAAATAATGATTGTTAGGTTTGGTGAATGAAAACTCAAATGATGTGTCAATTAAATCTCTATAGTTTACACGATGTGTCATAATTTGCTCAATTTTTACAGGAACTAAATACACACATCATGTAAATTACATGGACCAAATTGACATATTGTTTGAGCACGTGAGAACTTTCCGTCCACCAAACCTAATGGCTGTTATTTATTGAACCAATACGAGATAGCCTGTTAAATTAAGGGACAAAATTGATCAAATTAAAACAACAGGTACCAATTTAACACATCGTGTAAACTACGGAGACCATTTGCAAAATATATCCTTTATATTATATTAAAAGTTTAAAGCCAATCATTTTTTATTGTTTGAGGCCCAGTCTAAAAGGCCTCTCAAAAAATCTGTTGGACCAAATTAAAAAATATATATATATAATCATTGTTAGGCCCAATTAAAAATTTATATAATTAGTCCAAACAAACATATGTAATATAATGAGTCCGAATAGAGTCTAATTTCAAAATTTTAATAGAATAAACTTTTTCTTAATTTTTTTGCCCTCTCTTTATCATATTTTAATTGAATAATTTTACCCTAATTTCTTTTCCTTAATTTTTTTTGCCCTACTTTTTTTGCCCTCTCTCTTTATCATAATTTAATTGAATAATTTTGCCTTAATTTTTTCTCTCAATCTTTTTCCAATAATTTGTGTTTTGTTATCAAATAATTAGTGGATTGTGATTTGTGTGGATTATGATTGTGTTCTCAGATATCATATTACAATAACATAATCATTTTGTTATCGGATATCGGTGAATTATGTTGTTTGTATTGATTATTGCTAAATTATAAAACAACAAGACCCTATTTTATCTTTTTTTGAGTCTTTGTAATGATTTTTTCTTATCTTAATATATGAAAATAAAATTTAATGATTATTTGTGTAAAGAAACTTTTTGTAGTTACTAAATAAATAAATAAAAAATATCAATAAGTTATTATTTTATCTGTAATTTTTTTATAAAAAAATATATATATAAGAGAACTCCATTTTCAAAGTCCGCCTAAGGGATCGGCACTACTAAAATTTCATTTTAAAACAAAACACTTATAAATAGTATTTTTATTTTTTATCTTTATAATAAGGTTATAATAGTTTAAGTTTAAGTAAGTGATTTAAGTGCAAAACCCAAACAATAATAGTTTTGATAGATAACTTAAGTTTAAAATATATTAAGCCTTGGTTTTATTTTTGAGTTGGGACTAAATAAGCACATAAGGACAAAAAAAAACTACAAAATTACAAAATGACAAAACACTTAACTTTTGATGCAAAATTACCAAATTGACCCATATACAAACATAAAGTCAAAAAAGCATCATTTTCAAGTGGAGGGCAATTTTGTCATTCCAATGCAAAAGAAGTCAAAAAAGTCAAACAAGAAAACCAAACGAACAAAAAAGTTCCCGAATAAAAAAGTCAAAAAAATAAAAAAGCCAACATTACCAAACGACTCCTAATTATTACAAGATTATTATATAAATATTATTGCAAAGAATTATTGTCATGTCGTGTTTTATAAGTTGGTGGATTATTACTAATTTATTATAATTAGGGTGAATGAACCCAATAAAATTTAGTTTTAGAAGAATGTGACATTTAAGAATTAAACAACTCCAAAATATTTTATTAGCGACAAAACCTAATTCAAAACGAATTTAAATGAAAATACTGTTTTTTCACCAACTTCAATATCCATAAGCTGAATCTCATACCAATTGCTTAAAATAAAATATGAATACATTAAAGATAATTAACATTTAGTCCTAAATTAGTTGTCTTTAAAAGCCACGACTGAATTCACAACCCCCAAATGCAATTTACATTAACGTCCAAATAAATTTACACATGTTGATAAAGGTGTAAATAGTACGGTTCGGTTTGGTCAGTATTAAGAGTATATTTAGTACCGAACTAATTCTTTCTATTTTGAGAAACCGATATAGACCATATGCTACAGTTCGGTTTTGTCAGTTTGATATAGAAGAGAAATTTACATGAAATTTTAAAAGGCTTTATAGTAGATTATAGAATTTTATATAGAAAATAAATGAAGAAAATATATAAAAATTGCTCTACAAATGTTTTTCTCCCTAATTTTTATCACAAAAGTGTATTATATTAGTTACTTCTTATATAATGTTCAAGAAATTATAATATAAAAGGATTTAAATATAATATTCGGTCGGTTCGATTTGCATCGGTATAAAAAGTTTCAAAATCGAAACAGACTATTTGTTATGAAAAACAAACCAAAAATTAAAATTTCCGTCAATTTCGATCGATCGGCTCGATTTTATCGATTTTTCTTATATCCCAACATATTGACTAATTAATTTTACAAGTTCAGTAGTTTACATGCGCATGTAAACTTAACTAGTTTACTCCCAAAACAATAACAAAACTCAAAAAGAACGTAGATATAATTAAGCATAGATATACACGTGCAAGTCCGTAAAAAAATTAAGAGCAATGCTATAGACCACTAATTTGTCATCACTAATCCCACCACTAGTGAGGTGGCAATTAAAAAAAAAACAAGGCATAAACACATTGTGGCAGTGGGTGGGACCCACTGCCACATCATTAGAGCCACCACTAATTAGTGGTCTAAAGCATTTCTCAAAAATTAATTGTTAAGCATGACCACCCAACTCTATGTCGTCAGAAATGAGAGTACCTAAAATGCTTTCTATACATTTTAAATGAAAGAGATGAAATCCCTACCCTATTTTATCCCAAGAGATGATGGAAAGAGAGTAATGTCACCAAGAAGATTTAAATCCAATCTTTCAAGAGGTTTGAGCACAAAATTTCTCACCAAAGTCTTAAAAAATACAAGAGGAAGCTAGATGAGTTGATAGGTATTTGTGTGAGGAATCTTAGCAAGCTCTTCCATGGAAGAAATTAATATAAAAAAATTAAAAAATCAAAAAGGGAGGGGAGAGAGGCTCACGGCCGTTTGGGGGAAAATGGGGAGGGTATGTGTTTCTTCTGCTTTCATAGAAAAATGAGAATTAGGCAATTAAGCCCATTAATTTCTAAATTATTCAATATGTATATATTAATAGATATTGATTGAGCTTACCCAAGTAAGCCACTAAGACAAGCTTGGCACGTGACTTTCCATGTTAACTTTGGTCTTCTCCTGTAATCACAAATCAACTCATATAAAAAAACCCACAATATTACAACAAACACTAAAATACATATAATTTAAAGGCAGTGGCTTCCTTCCGGTCTCATATCGGATTGAACGGTGTTGTTAGATCTGTGGGACACATCACGGGTCCCGTTTCAATAATCCGAACCGTTCAATGTGTAGAATTCATCAAGTACTTTATGCCAATAAAAAATTACATTGATCGGATATCGATAGCTATCTCATCGGGTCAATTTTCTGTCAACCGTTTATTTTCTCACCGTCCATTTTTTTTATACAAAACTGATTTGATCACATAACTATCGATATCTGATTAATGTGATTTTTTACAAACATACAGTACTCAATAAGTTTTACATATTGAATGAATTATCGAAATAGGTCCCGTAGTGAGCCTCTACAGGGCCAACAACACCCTTCAGTCCGATCTGGGACTGGAGGGAAGCCAGCCATAAGTTAAATTCACTTTTGTTTTTTATTTCTCTTGCAGATTCATTAAATAATGCAACCCAATAGTAAAGGAACAAAAGTAAACAATTTACAATATTTTCTATAATAAAAATAAAACCAAATATGTATATATATTCAAATTAACTTTCCATGTTAACTTTGGTCTAATTACAAATTAACTCACATGTGAAAAACACAATATTACAACAAATACAACAAAATATATATGTGTGTGTATTAGTTTTGTTTTGTTTTGTTTTTTATTTTTATTTTTTTCCATTTCATTTCATTTCTCTTGCAGATTCATGGAATAATCAGGGACATATATATTTTTTTATAATAAAAATAAAAACAAATATGTATATATATATTCAAATTAACTTTCCATGTTAAGTTTGTTCTGCCGTTCCTGTAATTACAAATATATATATATATATATAGATATTTATTGTGTATAAATTTTGTTCTGTTTTTTATTTTTATTTTTTTTTCATTTCATTTCTATTGCAGATTCATGAAATAATCTGGGATATATGTATATATTCAAATGATCAAAACCCATTGTCAAAAAAAAAAAAAAAAGATCAAAACCCAAAAGTGCATATATATGTATAGATGGAGGACCTTTCAAGGAGTAGAGCAAGAGGGACAATGAAGGCAACAGCAATGACAAAGCGATAGGCAATCAAGACCCTCATGCTCATTCCAATACTTGAAGCCAGTTTGTAGAATATACTATTTCCTGCCAATGCAGCCTGAACCACCACCATCATCATCGCTGGCTTCAACCCATGTATAGTGTTCGCTATCTTCCCCATCTCCCTCCACCCACAATGCCAAATCTCTCTCTCTCTCTCTCTATATATATATATATGTATATGTATAGTTCTTGAGAGAGCAAGAACAAGCAAGAAGATCAAGAACCAACTTCGTCTTCTCGCTTGCTTGTCTGGAATTCAATTGCAAATGAGAAACAACCACACACAATGAATATATATATATAAAGAGGGTCATTGTGGAGAAGAAAGGGAAAGGGAGTTGGTTCTCGCTTGGAACAGAGGATCGAAGCTGTACTAACATTCCCTTCGTTATTTATTATAATTAAATAGGAAATTTGGGGATACAGGTACCTGCTGTGTGGTCAAAAGCGCTAGCTTTGATGTTTTTTTTTTTTTTTTTTTTTTTTGAGTTGTGTTAGAGTTTCTTTAATAGCCTAGTTTTGTGGTTTGAAACAAAACAAAGACAAAACCTTACAAATCTTCAAATGAAAACATTTATTGATATATTTTTATGAGTTTTAATGAGTATTTATTGACTAATATTTTTGGCATTTAAAAAAAGAAATCAGATGAGACTATCTTCAAATGAAAACGTTCATTGATATATTTTTATGAGTTTTAATGAGTATTTATTGACTAATATTTTTGGAATTTAAGAAAAGAAATCAGACAAGACTAGTTTTTTTTTGGCAGTAGGTGGTTTCCAATTCAATCTTTGGACCGGATATCCATAGAGTCTACCATGGGTCTTATTTTTATCATTTGAACTGTTTGTTTTTTAGTTTACTATGTGTAAATTATCCACCAAAAAATTCAAGTTATTTGATCTTTGTAACTATCTAATTTTATTATATTTGTCTCCGAAAAAAATAAACAATAGGAATGATTTGAAAATAGATCAGGTTTTTTTTCAAAGACAAATATAATAAAATTATATAACTATGTAAATCAAATCAACTTAATTTTTCTATATGGATGATCTACACAAAGTGACCTGAAAAATAAATAATTCGAATGATCGAAATGAAACTCATGATGGAGCCCATGAGCCCTAACAACGCTGTCTAATATAATATTTGGACTAAACACAATCCATTCCCTTTTTTTTTTTTTTTTTTTTACATTGATATTTATTAGAGTATAGCTAACTATATTTTATTTTTTGCAAATAAATACATAAAATTAATAAGTCATCTACAATATGTTTTTCGTTTTTTACATATATTATTTTTAAAATTATCAACATTGACATGTAATTGTACTTTAGTCTGTGGAGAATAAAATATACATAGTTAAAATATAAATGTCAATGTAAAAAAATACAACTAGTAACATTTAATTTTTTAAAATGCTTAAAACATAACAATTAATAGATACGTATTAAATCTTAATTCAGGTGAATTTTCAAAATATAAAATAAAAAAATATGTCAATAAATATTTTTTCCTTACAACAACAAATGGCCTTTGGAGACTTTGTAAAGTTTTATTTTGTTTAAAACCAAAAACCTAACACCCAAATTAAAAACAAAAGACAATATATATATATATATATACAAAAATGCTTGAGACCACTAATTAGTGGTAGCACTAATGATGTGGCAATGGACTCTACCCATTGCCACAGTGTTGCTGTGCCTTTTTTTTTTTTTTTAAGTGGATGCCAACTTATTAGTGGTGCTTTAGAGCACCACTTTTAGTAGTATGTAACATTGCTGATAAAACTAATCAAAGAGTGCCGTTTTATAGCACAACAACCCTGCTGTACAACAGGCACCCCTCCTTCGAAATTTGCGTGGTAGATTTATTATCCAATAGGTCCTGTAAGAATTAATGACATTTTTCATCAAATATTATTAAAAAAAATGTCACTAATTGTTAATTTTCAGCAACAATTCAAAATTTTTGTCACAAAAAATGTTACTAATTATAAGTTTTAAAGACAGTTTAAAAAAATTGTCATAAAAAAAGTCACTAAGTTGCAATTATCAGTGACGGTTTGAAAAATTCATCACAAAAAATGTCACTAATTATAAGTTTTAGAGACAGTTTATAAAAATCGCGACAAAAAAAAGTCACTAATTGTCAATTTTTAGCGACATATGCAAAAAATCGTCACAAAAAATTATTTTTAGTGACGATTTTATTTTAACTTGTTTTTAAAACGACTTGATGAGAATTAAGTCCAACTATTAGGATCTATTGGTAGTTTAGGCTCCTCTGTCATCATCTGGATCCACTGAGAAATTATTTAGTGTGTTTTATTTCAATTTTCTAGAAATTAAGTTTTTTGTTTTTTGTATTTTTTTAATGAATATTTTTAAATTTTAAACATTTTTTTTACTTTTTTCGTAGTACCTTACTTACATGTATTTAAAAAGTAAAAATATTTGTAAAAAAATATTTTAAAAAATCAATAAATACACAAGAATATCAAAAATATACTAAATTATATATATATATTTTCGGTATTTAATAAATTTTTTGATTTTTTTTTACAAATATTATACTTTTTAAGTGTATTTATATTAAGTGCATCAAAAAAAATTTTAAAAAAAATTCTTAGAATATTAGAAAATTTAAGTAGAAAGAAAAGAAAAAAATTTAATTTTCTAAAACATGAATCCTAAAAATTCAAACTAAACTAGTTGATTGATTGCGTAAGACCATCTCCAACCGTTCACCAAATCCATCTTCAAATTCAAATTTGGTGAAAAAGAGGTACTTTTTGTGCTCCAACGGTTTCACCAAAACGGTATCAAATCAAGAACGCCTCAATTTTCACCAAACTGAAGGTGTCTTGCACCTTTCACCAATTTACTGTGTATAACTATTGAGTATGAACCCACCGGATGACTGGCCGGACATCCAACCGGACGTCCTCCCGGATGACCACCTCAAGCAAAATTTTGTAAAAATTTTACACTAAGAGGTCGACCCCCCGATCAACCACCTCTTTAACCAAATAAAGCTATTTCATTGCCCAATTTCAGATTCCATCAAAGAACAATAATGAATTTTTAGCGGATGGGTACCTCATTTTTTGAGATAGTGGTGGTAGATTTAGACTTTGAATCAACATGGCATTTGATTGAGCTATCAGAAATCTTCTTTTTGGTGCTTGGGCTTTGAAGAACCATCTTGACTGTTGAGTTTGACCTTCACAACAGTAGTTTTGGTCTCAGTAGCTATGTCTTCTTCTTCTTTTTCTTCTTCTTCTTCTTCCAAATCCAAATCCAACCACCACCTCTGTTGATATCAATGGGTTTTCGAAGGGTCTGCAATGGATTTTCAAGGAAAATTGGGAAAATGTAAAGAGTGTATTTATTGGGTATAACTTCAGTTTGGTCTTTTACAAGAAAATCATCTGTGTGTATCCTCTTTTCTGATCTAGGTTTTGTTTTTTGTTTTTGGTTTTTTTTTTTTTTTTTTATCTGGGTTTTGTTGAAGAGATAGGTTGCACAAATGGGTGGTTGTATCAACAAGAAAAATAACCAAGAACCAGGTGTTAATGGGTATAGATAAGGAAGAGGTAGTGGTACCGGGCATCACCAAAGCTACGAACAACAACCAATTGTTTCAGAACTAGGTTTTTCATTTTTTGCATTGACTAGTCGACCGGCCGGTCATACACATGGTCGACCAGTGGTTTGATGAAAAGTAAAATTCCTCCGTTGGAGCAAGCAATATCAGATAGAGGAATTTCCTTTTTTTTTTTACTCAGATTTGATGAAAAAAATGGTAAACCGTTGGAGATGCTCTAACCCAAAGGGCACCACGTCACTTATTACACATGATGCCTTAGACCAATGGGAAAATATCTTTTTAGCAGGTTGTCAGTGATCTTGCAAAAAAAAAAACTAACACTCAGAGCATCTTTAATGGTGTTTGCTAAAATAGCATTGTTATTATTATAATTTGATAATAAATAGTGTTATTTTGCCAAATTATAGTAATGGTGCTCCAATGGGCACATGTTATTTTGGAAAATCTCAACTAACTTTCCCTCCAAGTTTGTAGGTGTTGTTTGGATATAGGTTTTTTAATGATATATATATATATATTTTATCTTTTTGTGACTTTTTTTTAATTGTTTTTTAAAAAAAATTATAGATTTACATTATTCCTGACTAAACAGATATTAAAAAAGAATTTTTTTTTTAAAATATAATTCACCTCACCAAAAAACATACCACTACTAAATTATACTAAGAAATAGTCAACATTATACATTGCAAAAACAAAATTAAATTGGAACATAAAAGTACTCAAAAATAAATGGAACATTACATTACAAAATAAAAAAGACATTGCAAAAAAAGACAAACAATTACATTAAAAAATAAATAACATTGCAAAATTAAAAAAATACATTCTCCCGTGATTATTCACCAGGAGGCAAGGGAAAATAGTAATTTGGGTTGCTGACATGTGCAGACCACTTGGCGAAAATCTCATTTTTTCACATTATGTAATACGCTTTGATCTGAGGGTCCAAATGAGAAATGTCCGTAGTCATTATCAAATGTTCTTCCTTTTTGATCTCATGTTCATGTCTTTTGATCTCAAGTTCTTTCATCTCCTGCAGTGCTTAAATCCTTTTTTTTCTTCTCTTTCAGCTTTTTTCTTTTCCTTCTCAATAAGGTGTTGGTTAAATGTCTCCAATTGTATGCTCATTTTTTGGACTTCAACTTCAATGACTTGATTTCTCCCAAATAATTCTTTTGCAGCTTTCCTACCCGTAGGTCTTTTACCCCTTGTAGAGACACTACCCTCACCAATTGGATTATTACTAACAGTTGGGTTGTTACCAACACTTGGACTATTGTCATCTTCAAGAGAAATGTAATTTTCCATAAAGGAATCGGGGGCTGAATTAGGGGAAAATGGTGTTTGTATCATTGACTTCACCATGTTTGTAGGAGTTATATCTTGCACCTGATATTGTTTTGCAAGATTGGCCAACAACGTTCAAAAGGAAAATGTTTGTTTTCA